GTGTGTGTGTGAGAGAGAGAGAGAGAGAGAGAGAGAACAGGTAAGTCTCCAACCTCGCAGCTGGCCTCACGCTACTTCCATCAAAAGGATAAGCAAAATCGAATGAATCTTTCGCCAGAACATGGGAATATACATTGCCACACTTGTGGATTCAGTCCACTACCGCGCCAACAGCAGCCTTCTGCTCGAGTGTTCCACACAATTGTTGCATAATCGCGCCGCCCAAACTCCATCCACACAGGCCTGAACCAACCTCGGCGCGAACAGTCGCCGCTAGAGCCACGGCCCGCTTACACTGCCGCCCGGGTCTTTTCACCCCACACTTTCCAGTAGGACCATCGGGTTTCGCCTCTGCCTGCCGCACGCCCTTCCTGCCGAGTTCCCCAACCTGGGAACCGGGTCTTGCGTGTGGCGTCACGCGAGACCCGCTGTTTCCACTTTTCACAAACAGCTTGTTTAGAGATCTAGGGTGCTCTAAACAAGCTGAGAGAGAGAGAGAGAGAGAGAGAGAGAGAGAGAGAGAGAGAGAGAGAGAGAGAGAGAGAGAGAGAGAGAGAGAGAGAGAGAGAGTTCTCCTGAACACAGCGCACCCTCAATATGGCTGTACCTGTCCGGAAAGATTGCTAGTATACATTCATTATGAAGGTCCATTGTGTCCTGCACGGTCTGCACCGTATTTCCCCCGAACATAAAGCACCTTCAAAAGAAATGTATACCAGCGATCCGGTCAGGTACAGCCAAAATGAGGGTGCTCTGTGTTGGGGAGAACACATACTCTCTCTCTCTCTCTCTCTCTCTCTCTCTCTCTCTCTCTCTCTCTCTCTCTCTCTCTCTCTCTCTCTCTACTACGAATCACCGACCTTGACAAAGTAGATCAGTCCCCTTGCATTCTCGAAGAGCTTTTTCAGCCCACCGCTTACTGGTCACAACTTATTTCCAAATTTAACTTCTCTATCTCTGTGTCAGTTTGACAAATTCAAGACTGACAATTTGCTTCCCATGAAACTAAAGCNTACTGGTCACAACTTATTTCCAAATTTAACTTCTCTATCTCTGTGTCAGTTTGACAAATTCAAGACTGACAATTTGCTTCCCATGAAACTAAAGCCTTCAGAGCACAAAGGATCAAGAATGAGTTACGCGTAACTATAACTAGCCGTTGTTGGTTGTCTCTCGACAATGTACTATGCATACAAGATGGCTTCAGCCAGCCGGAAGTTCTCAGCGCATTGAAACGCATACAAGATAACTCTAAAGAAGACATCAGTTCGTTCGAGCGCACTTTATTTGGATGACCCTGACTAATCAGCTTGAGGCTGGAAGCTTACTAATCAACGACCGTCACTCTTCTATGGAATTTTGACAATGCAGAGTCTGAAAACTCGTTCTGAGTTGAACGAGTGATATTCAGATTGCATTGCATTGCATTGCATTGCATTGCATTGCATTGCAATTGCATTGCATTGCACGGACAAAATAAATGAAAAGGAAGTTAGTTGCACATGAGTATGTGCAATTCTTTGATGAGGCATTTCGGTCCTACAGTCTTCACCCGAATACAAGTCCTGGTCAAATTATATAGCTCTATTCAGGGCAACAGCAATAACGACCAGGCATTGGGTGACGAGGGCAGGTAGTTGGAAGCTCTTGTGCTTAGGAGGTACCCACGAGAGAAAAATCACCATCGAAGGCTCAGTAGTCTTCACCTGAATATACAACGCCTGTATTGGAGGCAAACTCCAGTCTAGATACAGCGATAGTGACCGGGTGTTCTCATCGGGTGAAGAGGGTAGATAGGTGGAAGCTCTTGTGCTGGGTACCCAAGGGAGAAAATCACCCACCATTTAATGCTCAGCAGAATCATCACCAGAAAACTACACCCACCTGCATCATGATGCTGTCGATGGAGGAGATGCAGCATTACGCTTAGCACACTGTTCTTCCTCCCTCCTTTTTTTTTTTCCTTTCCTTTTCTTGTTTCCTCCCCCCCCCCCCCTCCTTTATCGATTCTAGTGGCAGCATGCAGGACAGTTTCCTGATGATGAGTCCTGCTCACCCTCACTCACCTAGTCGGTGAGTTCGACTGTGTACTACCTACCCATTCACTTGCCTGCTCACTGAGCCAGTGAGTTGCACTTCACGAGCGATTTCGCCGAGTGCTAGGAGAGCCGCACCTTCGCCTTCTTCCATCGTCATCTTTGGCTGATTGCGAGTTTCACTTTGCTAGCGATTGCATTGAGTGTTGGTAGAATCGCCCCTTCACCATCCGCCATGCTTGGCCGATTGCTTCTGTCCAAATTTGCACAGCGCAGCCCCAACTGTGCCACCTGCAGTGCCAGATCAACGTCCCAAACTCCTGCCTTTGCATCCAAAGCACTTGGAAAAACGGAAGCATCTTTCACGGCATTTTCGATGGTTCCGACCGCATCCTGAAAGTTTCCGGTTAGCGTCTCCAGCATTGTGATGCCAAAAGAGTAAATGTCGGTCTTCTCGTCAAAGACTCTACTGCGACAAGATTCTGGCGCCAGGTACTGCATGTTAGCATCCGGGGATAAGCACCTTCTCGATGCTTTTGATGGGGCAAGCAAAGCCGCATCAACCTCGCCGATTTTAGCTGATAATTTGTTATCCAGAAAGATGTTTTCTGGATTGATGGCACGGTGGATGACCGGACCACCACCATCGACTAACTGAGTGGAGTGAAGGAAGAATAGGGCCTCAGCCACCTCCGCCAGAACCCAGAGACGTACATGCCAAGACAGGACTAGGAATCCGCCCCCCCCCTTCATTGGCCCTTGTGCAGCACACGAGATTCGGTCTTTGAGACTACCATTGGCCATGTGCTCGTACACTAGGAGGCAGTTTCCCTCGTAGCACACTCCCAGGAGGGTCTGCAAGTTTGGGTGTCGAAGAGACTTCAACTTCTGAATCATCTCCCTCGTCGACTTGGCATCCTGACTCCACATCTTCTCACCAGCCTTGAATGTCTTTATCAAAACAGGTGTGATCTTTCCCTCGTAAACCACACCGTAAGATCTTTCCTGAACCTTGCAGCTATCGTTGAAGTTGCCGGTTGCAGCCTGTAGCTCGGTGAAGGAAAACTCCAAGGGGAATCGGTCGTCACCCTCTTTTTTTTCCTGATTCCCAGCCTGCCGCAGTTCAGCACACTTCTCCAGCCTTTGCCGTGCATTGCACTCGCTCTGCAATCTGCGTCCCAATTCGTGAACTTTGACCGTCAATCTCTCGACTCGTTGTGTCAAAGCCGATCTCTCCGCTGTCAGACTAGCTACCTCCTTGTCCAATTCTTGAATTCTGAACACCGATTTCTCAGATCTTTCTTCTGATCTCTCAGCATCGAGCCGGTCGATGCTATTGGCATTGACGCGTTCTCTCTCTCGGGGATCTGATCCACATTGCTCAGATCTTTCCCTCAGAGCCTCCCTCTCTGCTACCAGATTACTTACCTCGCTCTCAAGCTGCCTTATCTTCTCTGCATGTGTTTGTTCATTTTTATCGTGCTCTGATGCGGACCTCTCAAACCTCTCGTTCAATTCCGCCTTCTCTGCCATCAGATCGCTAACCTCCTTCTCGAGCTCCTTGATCCTCTCTGCATCATGACTTGCTCGGTCGTCATAATCTCTTCCGTAACGCTCAGATTTCGCTTCCAGGACCTCTCTCCCTGCTTTGAGATCACTTATCTTATCAGTTACGACCTCCTTGTCCTTGACAGGATGATCCGCTGTCAGAGTGTCTTCCTGCATCTGCATTCGCTTGTTTTCTTGATGCAATTCTGGTGGGGATCGCTTGAAATTCTTTCTCACAAGTTTCGACACATTTTCCTTCGATGGCGTATGGTGCAAAGCAGCCTCCAGATTGCAGACCTCGTTCGCACACATCCGTTTGTTTGTTTCATCATTTTCTGATCCGGATGACACTAATGATATCTCTTCCAGCACTTCTCTCTCGCCCACCATCACGTTGCTCGCCTGAGTGGCACACAGCTTGACGGTACCTCCATCCCTTCGCTCCTCTTTTGCATTATCCGATCCAGACCGTTTCGATCTGTCTCCCAGCATCAGCATATTGTCCATCCAAGTGTTTGCATCACTCTCGAGCTTGTTAACCGTGTTTGCCAATTCAGAGTGCAGGCATATTCCGTCGTCCGTCGCCGCAGCTTCCTCCATCCGATGATCAAACAAGTCACTCTCAAACCGCAGAATGCTACCCGCGTCCCTCCGCTCGAAATGTTCAGGCCCTGGTCCTGACCGATCTGATCTCTCTCTCGCCGCATCCATACCCACGACCGCCACATTGCTCGGTTCAACCTCAAGCGGCGGCTGTAGTACCCTTTCTGCCTCTTTCTTCTCCGCCTTTTGGTCGCGCACTGCCTCTTTGGATTCGGGGGTGGTTATCTGCTTGTCTGCGTTGTTTCTCCCATACACGTCTCCTTCTCCCGTCTTGATTTTCTTCTCAGGGCGAAGCATGAGTTGATCTGCCTCCACGACGAGGAACGCGCCTTCACCGCCCAGAAGAAGCTCGTTAGAGTTCCTACAGACCGCCATGCTCCGGAGTTTCCTTACGCCAGTGTGAAAAGAGAGCAGTAGTTTATAGTTTGACTTGTTCCAGATCCATAAGGTTCCGTCCTCGGATGCACTGAGTACATACGGCCACTGAGGATGGAACAGGGCAAGCGCATTACAACATTTTGCTGCACGGACGCTTCGCTCAAGCACAACAACGCATGCCTTGCTCTTGTAATCCCAGATCTGCACTTTGTCACGGTTGTTACCGGCGATGAGAAGTGTCTTTTGCCGGTCGCCGTCGAATTGTAAAGAAGTGATGAACACTTTTCCGGCTTGGGCAGTCTGGAGAGCAGACCGCTGTCCACTGTCAAAAAGCCTGATCTCCCCGCTGCAGCCGCCAGCTGCAAAAATGTGCAATTGCCTAGGATGGAATGACAGCTGGGTTATGCCACATTTGTCAATGAAGATAGGTTCGGTACAAGACTGGTGCAAGTCCAACATGTAGATGGAGGACTTCCCTGTAGTCAAGATATATCGCGAACTCGGACTCACGGCCAGCGGGTACGAACTCAATGGGTTAACATGCAGCTGGCTGGACCTGGATGATTTCTTCTCGACTTGTACATACTTAACCTTGTTAACCGCCCACATATCTGAGTCAAGGTTTTGAGCCTTTATCCTGACGATTTGATAGATAATAATGTTATAACCCCATCCTGTGAAATGGCTCACGGCCACCCAGTCATTCTTGCCTACGAACTTCGCAGCCAAATATCTCGAGCCTCCTCCGCTGTGATTTAACTTCACCTTCAGAGTGCCATCTTTATAGTTCCAGATTTGGAGCGTCCTCTGACTACGTATGAAAAGAAACCATGGTTTAGAAGGGTGCACGTCGATATCGAGCCAGCAGTCCCCTAAATTTGATTCTCGAAATCTCGCTGTTAGCCGAAGCTCCCCCTGTCCATCGGGGCATTCCATGTCAGTCATCACTCTTCTGTGATGTCCCATAGCGACTAGATGCAAGTTGTTTACTGTTGTTGTTTTTTTAATCACTCCTCGAAGGTCGATGATCGGCCACAATTCTTTTCAGCTTCTTCTGGCACACTACAGCACACACAAAGCCGACAGTGAGTCCACCTTCAGTTGCTGTTTATTATTTGAAGAAGAAATCATAGAAACCATCTCAGAAACTACGCCAATTGCCCTTGAGGCTTGATCATTGAAAATATACAAGGTTTACAGTACCATAACTGCTGCCAAAGGGAATTCGATTAGGATGGGTCGCAAAGGTAAACTTTGTGAAACGAGCATCTCCAGTGTTCAATGCCAGCTCGAAAGAAGAAAAAAAAAAGGGTTTAATAATGGCATCTACCTCAGAGTAGATGGGGGGAAAGTGAGTGGTCCTCTTCGCTTTAAGTTGCATAATAATAACCCTATTGAGGACACTGCAACACCATTCATTAAAGAGTCGATTGCAGAAATATGAAAGGCATTCCACGATGAAGACCCCAAATTCGAATTTCAGGATCAAGGTCTCAGGCCAAGTCGGCCAGTTCTGAACGGTCACAGTCAGGGGTACCTTAGGAGTCAAGTCCAACAGGCACCCGGTGAACAGTCACCTCCCAGAGGCAAGGGTTGCGCTCTATAGGCAAAAGTCACGGTGTGAGAAACCCGGGGAGGGGTCGCCTACCATTCGCTGAAGCCAAGGGCAACAGCGCCTGTCACTCGCTGCGCTCACGTCAGCAACCGGCAGGGTGAAAGGATTTACTTCGCCTGTCATGCTCCCACTCCAGGGCTAGTTCAGGAGACTTGCGGGATGTGCCGAAAAGGAACAAAAAATAAAGTAAAAGGATTCAAACTGTTCAAGCCTGCAAATCCCAAACCGGGCCTCAGAACATGCGCAGGCGACTCCCTGCCAATTTTCGGATTCGAAGAAATGAAGTTGAGATTCAGCTAGTATAAGGATCGAGGGGGAAATAGCTCAATCGAGGAGAGAGTATAACAGCAACCATTCGCAGCACCACTCAAGGCAGCAAATGCACTTAGCAAGGGATCTCAAATCACCGATTTCTCACAGATGCAGATAGTAGTGAAAGTAGACTTAACCCTAGGGTCGATATGGCAATCATGTGGCAGCGCCTGGGCTTGTTTATTGTGTACCGGATCAGGGAGGTTCGGATGCCGATGGGGTTACATAATCCTTCCTGATTGGCGATCATTGGTCATTGTCATTCCAGCATCTTGATTTTCTCTGCCCCTCCCTCCTGTGCACTGCAGACCCTCACTGAGCAGTCTCCTGGGTGAGAAAACCGAAATGAATCCTTAGTTTATTCACGAGCGCATACACAGTTTTCGGCGAGGAGGGAGATGACTGGATTCATCCGATTGGCTGATCTGCCCTGTTTGGGGGTCTGATTGGTAAGCCCGTGAGTCAGCGATAATGCCTTCCCAGCAGGTTATCTATTCGGGCCTAGCCTGATTGGCTGTTTGGACTGCCGCACCCTCCGGCCGAGCTGGACGCAGGTACCCGCACGGTTCAGGGAGATTCGACTATCACCTTCCCCTTAAAGACAACAAGGAGAACGAGTACCACCATCATGAGCTTGCTGCTGTCGATTTCGTTTATTCATCCACTAGAGCGCGAGAGGATTCACATGCATCACGGATCGTGCTGAGGTTTCGCCGAAACAATAAGGGAAGAGGATCATTAAACGAAGCACGGTATGACGCTCTTGCAAGTCTGCTTGGTCTCTCCCCTGATGGGAGAGGCAAAGAAAGAAAAGAAAAACAATATTTCATAATAAAGAACATCGAGCATAAAACTTCATAGGGGAGGCAACCAGACCATGAGGAGCCATTCAGTCATAATGTAGTCTTAAGCAAAGAGCCTCCAGTACCAGGCTCCCTCTCAAAGTGTCGGTCTCAACTTGCCCCGTCAGGGAGAGGGGATATCATGTATACGCCGCCCCCCATTCTCATTTTCCAAGTATTTTCAATAGTTGAATTTCCTCTGGCCTGTACATCATTTTGTTGGTCAAGCTCGAATGTACCCGTTCAAGATCAGGGCTGTTCAAGTGTTGCTGAAAAATAATACCAATAGTGAATTCATAACAAAAATGATGAGGAAAAATCCTCCCCTCGGCTTTCAAGGACTTCCCCTCTTTGTTGGTCAAATTCGAATGCACCTGATCGAGATCAGGGCTGGGTATATGTGACTGGGAAAAAAAGGAAATAAAATAAAATAGTTTACAAGGAATAAAAAAAAACTTCCTCTCTCTCTCTCAGCCCGAAAGGTGTTCTCTCTCTCCCTAATCCCAGCTGTCTGATACGTTTTTCTCTCGCTCTCTCTACTGTCTCCCTCGTTTGCCTGCAGGGTTACGAAGATCCGCAGGTCAGGAAGAGGGCCCCCATGGTTAGAAACTTGATCATCTCAGGATAGTCGAAGTAGTCCTTCTTCGATGCCTGCTCTTCGCTGAATGGCGTAGGGCGTATTAACTAGGTTTCAGATCACCACTGAGCAATCGAAGCTGGTAGTTTTACTCTCTCTCCAGATAAATAGTTGATGGATGACCTTTGCAGTCATACTGGTTGTTACATGCCCAGTTGGGCAATGTATGTACAACCAAGGACCCGCAAGGTGATGAAAAGGACTGAATGGACAATGCAGTGCTAGTGGAATCTCAACAACCAGTGTACATCCTGATACATACAAAAATGGCACTTTGTAGCGCAGTGGAAGACTTGGATATAAGTCCTGACCTGAACGGGACTGACAAGAGATCCCATCATACTTCACACATGTGAGAGGAGGAGGAGATACCAAACTGTTGCATACCGTAATGGTGCAAAACAGAACAAGGACCGACCTCACATAGTACAAGATAGCGCAGCGGAACGCTAGGATGCCAATGATCAACCCAATCAATATTGCAATGCAGACTAAACATACATCATCATCATTACAAGTTGGGAAGGGGCCTGGCGCTCACACAGGAAGAGTGCGCCAGCCCCCAAACATCCACAGACGAAGAGGAGGGGGATTAGACGAAGATGAGGTAGAAGATGGGAATGTCGTCACACAAGTGTCCCTGGCATTGATCCCAAATAGTCCCTCGTCAATGTCTCTATTCCAAGGTCGAGTCTGTATCCCAATGTCGTCAACATCCCCAAAGTCACCAATCTCTCTCTCGCTCGTAGTCTGCTGAGGCCGAGAAGTCAGAGAGTGAGAGGGTGAGGAAGAGATGGTGGACTGAGGAGGAGGAAGAAGAACTCTCTCTCTCTCTCTCTGTGTGTGTCATGTGCCAGGTACTAACCTCTGAAGATGGCACCGTGCAGCAGGTACCTCGAAGACGAAGCTGAAGCTATGGCGCTGCAGGTAAGTCTCCCTGGCCTCCGCCAAATCTCTCTATCCCTCCAGTACTACTCTAGCTCCTACTAGCGCCCAGCGCTGAAGACTACTGCTAACGCTACTACTACTACTGCAGCGCTCCTCCAGAGTGCTGCTGCCGAATCCTGAAGACTACCTCCTGCCTTCTGAACCGCACGTGAAGTGCCTGGGAAGTCCCCTATGAACTACCTGCAGCCTGCAGGGCGGGCCAGTCTTATATAGTGCTGGCCTGTCCAGGAGGCGGGTCTTGCCAATGCCAAAACGTGCCAGACCCTGGCGTTGAAGTTCAAACAAAGGTTGTCTTGAAAACAGGCCCAAAATGACCTGCACTAAAACCCTGGTCTGGTGCCTAAGTTTCAGGGCAGGTCGACCTTACGAGGGCCTGAAAATGGCCCTCCGTTTCAGGCTGAAAAGACTCAGGGCCTGGAGGGCCCTGTTTTAGGCTGAAACGACACAGGGCCTGTAGGCCCTTGTTTTCAGGCTTTCAGGCTGAAACGACACAGGGCCTGTAGGCCCTTGTTTTCAGGCTTTCAGGCTGAAACGACACAGGGCCTGTAGGCCCTTGTTTTCAGGCTTTCATGTTGCAGGCGCAGCATGTAACAGGTGGACTGATTTTGCTCTTTCTCATACCACTCAACACCCACGCGTTCGCTCAAGGCTCGAAAGTCTGACGACACACTACCGCCGAGTCGCAGCGGAGGCACATTTCGATACGAGCCTCTGCTGGTTCTCTCAACGCTGGTTGGCAAGCCCTTCCCCCAAGTTCTCACTCGTTCACATCCGCTTGGGTACATACTTACCTGGTCATCCTTATACTCGGAGGTCTTACTTGGTAACGTGTTTTCTGATTTCCGCCCTTTACACTCATGCTCTCATCCAGGGAAACGGCTGATACACCAGCTGTCAGTTCACACGCGTGAAGTAGCCGTCTTCTTTAGCAGCGAGGAGGGTTGTTCATCCCTTCACCCAAAAAGGGCTATTCTCATCACTCGCGAAAGTGACTGCGCGCATGATCAGCGAGACAGCCATTCTTATCACCAGCACCCGTGTCCATTCACGTCCTCTCTGTAAGCACCCGTTCTCATTTCCAATGACGGTGGGCGCGTTCACAGCTAGCGGAATGGCTTTTCCCATCTTTAGCGGCTGTGGCCGTGCACTTTCTCAGCGCCGTCATCTTTTCTCATCCCCAATGAAAGTGGCTGTTCTCAGTATCAGCGGGAGGACTGCTCTAGATCTCTCCAATCTGTCTCTACCTTGTGCCCCTCGAGCACTCCTCTGTGCTGGCCTGAGAGCAACGGCCAGCAGGGCGTACACCGGTCATGCACCCCTTAGTGTCTCCCCCTCCATCACTTAGCTCTTGCCCAAACGATCCATCAGTGGGGCACGCCGTGCGCGCCTCCCGACCGAACTCGCCCTGTCCGCCTCCAGCGCCAGGAACATGTGTCCTCGAAGTGAGATACTGGTCTGCTGCGTACACCAGGCACGTAATGCCCTCCTTTTCCCAAGGTCTGGCCTATATGCGGCCTTAGTACTGGTCTGAGCCCTACCGGACCGCCGGTACCAAGAAATTTCTAGTTAGTAGCCTGGATTATCTTCCACCAGCGGTAGCAGATCCGGGGTACCAAGGATTTCGACCCGGTGGGACCAGTATCCGCTGGACCAACGAATGACGTGACCATCGGACTGGTGAACTGTACCAAGCCGTTGGACCGTCCAAAAAGCCGTATCAGGGAATAACGGTGTCAGACTGCAGTGTACCATTCTTGTCATGAGCCAGTAATCGCA